GCTCTGTCAGGAAGTTCTTCCTAATGTCTAGCTGAAAACTCTTCTGATAGAATTTCAACCCGTTGGTTCTGGTCCGACCTTCTGGGGCAACAGAAAACAACTCCGCACCATCCTCCATAGGACTGCCCTTCAAGTCCTTGAAGATGGTCTTCATATCACCTCTCAGTCGTCTCCTCTCTGGGCTAAACATACCCAGCTCCTTCAACCTTTCCTCAAAGGACTTGTAGGGCTTGGTCTCCAGGCCCCTGATCATTGTTGTCAGGGACTGAGATGTCAGAGATTGAACTTGGGACCTTCTGCACGCCAGGCAGATTTCAACCCGTTGGTTCTGGTCTGACCTTCTGGGGCAACAGAAAACAACTCCGCACCATCCTCCATAGGACTGCCCTTCAAGTCCTTGAAGATGGTCATCATATCCCCTCTCAGTCGTCTCCTCTCTGGGCTAAACATACCCAGCACCTTCAACCTTTTGTCAAAGGACTTGTAGGGCTTGGTCTCCAGGCCCCTGATCATTGTTGTCAGGGACTGAGATGTCAGAGATTGAACCTGGGACCTTCTACGCCAGGCAGATGCTCTGCCACTGAGCCACGGTCTCTCTTCCGAGGAAATATGGCAGGATATGAATATTTTAGATAAGAATCCTCCCCCCCTTTAGGGGAACCCCGGTTGAGCACCAAACAGAACGGAACGGTAGTCTGAGTAATAAGCATCCCTTTATTTGCTGACACCATTACAAAAATGGATTACATTAGCAACCAAAAAATAATAATAGAGGAGTGTTTACTTGAAGGTGGGAAGTCAGAGGCCGCTACTCCCAAAAACGTATCTAAGTAGAACAGTGCAGACTGTCAGTATTAAAAGGTTATTTTTGTTCACGGCTGCTACGTCAGGTGTGTGTTCTGAACGAGGTTTTCACTGAGCATAGTAAAGACAGAAGGTTACACGTTTTACTGTCGCTCCAAAGGAATGTAAAGCTCTAATTATTCCAAACCGCTTTTAATTTTAATTTTAATTATAAAACTAAACTCTGGAGGTGTCTACAGAGTCATCTTCTTCATCATCTGGTTTAAATCAGTAGTCTAACGAGGAAGTAGAAAAGACAACGCCCGGCTCGGTGTTTCGACGAAGTAGAAAGGGTGAGCACATAAATAAGGCTTTAATTTGGCAAAATATAAAATACAGTGCCCTTCCGCTACCCTCCGACCAACGACCGTCCCGCAATTTCATTCTGCAAAGAGACAAAGAGAGAACACGATAAGCGGTTTGCACCGTGACGGCTCTCCCAGAACTGAAATCAAATTCCAAAACCCACAGAACTAGTGAGATGCAGAGTAAAATATGGAATGTGAATATCAATTTGACTAAATCTGTTTCATTTAAAGAAAATTTGTATAAAATGTTCTATAGATGGCACCTAACCACAAATAGGTCAGCTAAAATGTATAAAAACTTGAGTAACAGATGCTAGAAATGTAGTTTGGTGTCGTGGTCAAGGGCACGGACTCTAATCTGGGAGAACCGGGTTTGGCTGGATGACCTTGGGCAAGTCGTAGTTCTGATAAGAGCTGTCCTTGAAAAAGAGCAGTTTCTATCAAGAGCTCTCTCAGCCCCACCTACCTCCCAGGGAGTCTGTTGTGGGGAGGGGAAGGGAAAGGAGTTTGTAAGCTGCTCTGAGACACCTTTGAGTAGTGAAGGGCGGGGTATAAATCCAATCTCTTCTTCTTCTAATAATAATAATGTTGGATCATACTATCGCATGTGGTGGACATGTAAAATGGTTCATAAATATTGGGTTGGAGTACATACTCTCCTACAATCAGTGTTGAATACTACAATAGCTTTTAAACCAGAAATATTCCTGTTAAACTGCCAGATGACTCAGATGAGAACCATAGGTACGTTATTTTACATGTTATAACAGCAGCTAGACTCTTATTCGCGACAACATGGAGGACTTTGAAAATCCCAACGCTTAATGAGTTGGCAACGAAGTTTATGGAATGTGCTGAAATGGACAGATTGACAAATATTCTAAAAGGAAAAATGGAAGAAAAATTTATGGGACCATGGAGGGCGTTTTATGACTGGTTAAAACGTAAGTACTGAGAAACTAAGACTAAATGAAGAACAATAAGATATATATATATATATAAATAAAACTCTGTATGCTTTCTTTTTCCCTTCTTTTCCCCATCCCCCTTTATATATAAAAACTAATAACACTTTATATATATATTAAAAAAAAACTGGTGGGATGCAGAATCCACCTTTCTGGGGAACTGTAGGTTGCAACTGTTCAACATTGACACAGTTGAAAGTTCACATCCCAAAGAGTCAGAACTCGAAAATCTAATTTGGACGGCTTCAAGAGGGAATTGGGTAAACATCTGGAGCAGACATCCATCACTGGCTATCAGCCACAAGGTATAGATAGGGACTCTCGGTCTGGGGGGGGGGGCAAGTGATGCTCAGTATTCTTGATGCTTGGGGGGGAGGGGCAACAGTGGGAGGGCTTCTGGAGTTCTGGCCCTGCTGATGGACCTCCTGATGGCACCTGGCATTTTTGGCCACTGTGTGACCCAGAGTGTTGGACTGGATGGGCCACTGGCCTGATCCAACTTTGGCTCCTCTGATGTTCTTAATTTGTACTTTCAAACAGAGAGGAAGAAGAGGAGGAGGAGATTAGATTTAGACCCTGCCCTTCACTACCCGAAGGAGTCTCAGAGCGGCTTAAAATCTCCTTTCCCTCCCCCTCCCCACAACAGACACCCTGTGAGGTAGGTGGGACTGAGAGAGCTCTTTCAAGAACTGCTCCTGAGAGAACAGCTCCGAGAGAACTTGTGACTGACCCAAAGTCTCACCAGCAGCTGCTTGTGGAAGAGTGGGGAATCAGACCCCATTCTCCCAGATTAGAGTCCATGCTCTTAACCACTACACCAAACTGGCTATATCTGGCTTCTGGAACAGCGAGACTGCACCCCGGGAGCACCTTCGTCTTTTTAAACATACAGCAGCATAAACCCAGCCCAGTGAGCTCCCCCCGCCCACCCCAAGCTTCTACCTAGTAGCTGGTAGTGTTCTTTTCCCTTCACGAGCATTTGGTTGACTGAAGCAAGCAGTTTCTTGAGATGATCTATATCCTGACTTAGACTCATGGCCAAGTTGACGCCTTTCTCGGTCCCTGCCTGAAACAGAGAAAGGGGAGGGGTGGGGAGAACAGATAAGGAGTAAGTCATCCGTCCTGCGGGAAGACAGCGGGACCGCCTCTCCTCCACCAGGAGAGCCTCGCTCCCTTCAGGACAGACAAAGGGAAACACTACTTTACAGAGAGATTAAAATGTGGAGTTCGCTGCCAGAGGATGTCGTGATGGCCACCAGAATAGACAGCTATAAAAGGGGATTGGATAGATTCATGGAGGATAAATCTATCAATGGCTACCAGCCATGGGGACTGAGGGGAACTTCCACATTCAGAGGCACTAATCCTCTGAATCCCAGAGCAAGGAGGCAACATCAGAGGAAGGCTTCAGCCTCTCTGCCCTGTTGTTGGCCCTCCTGAAGACCTGGTTGGCCACTGTAAGAGACAGGATGCTGGACTAGATGGACCCTCACTGGTCTGATCCAGCAGGGCTCTTCTTGTTCTAATGAAGGCCTCGGCCTCTCTGCCCTGTTGTTGTCCCTCCAGAGGAACTGGTTGGCCACTGTGTGAGACAGGATGCTGGACTAGATGAACTACTGGTCTGATCCAGCAGGGCTCTTCTGATGTTCTAATGAAGGCCTCGGCCTCTCTGCCCTTTTTCTTGGCCCTCCAGAGGAACTGGTTGGCCACTGTGTGAGGCAGGATGCTGGACTAGATGGACCACTGGTCTGATCCAGCAGGGCTCTTCTTATGTTGTAATGAAGGCCTCGGCCTCTGTGCCCTGTTGTTGGCCCTCCAGAGGAACTGCTTGGCCACTGTGTGAGACAGGAGGCTGGATGGACCACTGGTCTGATCCAGCAGGCTCCTCTTATGTTCTTTGAAAAGGGCCTTCTAGTGGTGCCACCCTCCCAACGGGCGGGAACAACAGCTGCTCGTACACATCCTCTAATGTGGAGTGTTTTGTATATTTTTGTAACATTCAGATTTAAAAGGGGGAGGGGGGGGGGGGGGGGACAGAGGCAGGAACCCTTGACGGGAATCTGGCCAGTTTAGCAGTACGCTGCCACAGTGCCATCTGCTGGTAGGAAAGATAACACCCGGCCACTGTCTGGTTCTATGGGTTCTATAGATCCGGAAACATTTCTACAGAGGGGCTGTGATATTGCGGTGGGGACATCTGCCGACCTCAGGAGGGCTTCTCTTGGCCTGTGCATGTTCAGGGCAGTGTTCCCTCTAAGCTGAGTTAGCGTGAGCTAGCTCACGGTTTTTTAGCCTCCGGGTCACACACTTTTTTGTCTTGGCTCAGGAAGCCTGGCTCCAGAGAAAACTAATTTATGCAGCAGCCAAATCACTTGCTCACAACTATAATACCAGTAGCTCACAAAGGAGAATTTTTGCTCACAGGACTCCATAGCTTAGAGGGAGCATCGGTTCAGGGCCTGGGGAACACGGGAAAGAGGGCTGAACATACAGCCCTGTTCTTCATTCTTCAAACTGGGCATCTATACTTGGCGTCTAGAGCACACAAAGCTGCCCTCTACTAAATCTTGTCCACCAAGACTGGCAGCAGCTCTCCAGGGTCTCAGGCAGCGGTCTTTCCCACCACCTACTGCCTGGTCCTTTCAACTGGAGATGCTGGGGACTGAACCTGGGACCTTCTGCATGCCAGGCAGAGGCTCTTCCACTGTGCCACGGCCATTCCCCCGGTTCTTTGAATCAGCAGACCAAGCACTGATTAATGGCTTCCACGGTCGATTGAGGAGGAACGCCTGCTTCTGACCGGAAAAATGGAATTCAGTTTTCGGGGTCATCTTGATTCTGTTGTCAAGGCTGTGGCTACACTGTCGGTCTGTCGCTACGAAGGAAAAATGCTGGCTGTGGGAGTGGGCAGGGACTCCAGCTTCTCCTCCTTTACAAATCAAGAAACAAGTTTCCAGCCCTCGAGGCTGTGAAGGTAAGTACGGAAGGGTGTAAAGAGGCAGTGTTCCCTCTAAGCTGAGTTAGTGTGAGCTAGCTCACAGTTTTTTTAGCCTCCAGCTCACAGACTTTTGCCTTCGCTCGGGAAGGAGGGTTCCAGAGCAAACTATTTTATGCAGTCGTCAAATCGCTGGCTCACAACTGGAATGCCAGTTGCTCACAAAGCAGGATTTTTGCTCACAAGACTCCCATGCTTAGGGAAGCACTGGTAGAGAGCATCTTCTATAGTCCTAGAAGCCAAAGGGGTGGTTGGATAAGACTGAAGTTGCTTGGGAACAGAGATTCAGTGACATGCGTCGCTTCTTGCTCCACCGCGCCGGCTAAGAAAGATAACCGAGGCCTTAGCTCTATTTGCATGATTTACAGAACTTAGCCGAAAACTATGCTTACTCGGGATGTGGGGTTTTCACAGGGTTTAAGCTCAAGAATGCAAACTGTACCAGGCCAACTCCTTCTTCTCCCAACTTCAGTTTGCAAATGGGGGACAACAGTGACCTGCTACCTCCGTAGAAAAGAGTCCCCTAGCTACAGGACTCTTACTCTTTTCTGCTGCTAGTAAAGGTAAAGGTTCCCTTACTCGAAAGCCAGTCGAGTCCGACTCTAGGGTTGTGGTGCTCATCTCCATTTCAAAGCCGAAGAGCCAGCGCTGTCCGAAGACGTTTCCGTGGTCATGTGGCTGGCATGACTGAACACCAAGGCGCACGGAACGCTGTTCCCTTCCCACCGAAGTGGTACCTATTTATCTACTTGCAATTTCTCGCTTTCGAACTGCTAGGTTGGCAGGAGCTGGAACTAGAGATGGGAGCTCACTCCGTCATGCGGCACTCGGGTCTCGAACTGCTGAACTACTGACCTTCCACAGCCTGCAGTTCAGCGTCTTAACCACTTGAGCCACCGCAGCGACTAACACGGCTACCCATCTTGACAGGGCTACTTCCATGTAGGGAGAATGAAATTAATGAGCAGTAGGGCTTAGAACAGACCAGAGGAAGTCCTTCTTCACCCAAAGAATAATTAATGCATGGAATTCACTGCCACAGGAAGTGGTGGAGGCTACAAGCATGGACGGCTTCAAGAGGGAACTGGATAAACATATGGAGCAGACGTCCATCGGTGGCTATTAGCCACAAGATGTAGATAGGAACTCTCGGTCTGGGGCAAGGGATGCTCTGTATTCTTGGTGCTTGGGGGGGCAACAATGGGAGGGCTTCTAGTGTCCTGGCCCCGCTGGTGGACCTCCCGGTGGTCCCTGGGTTTTGGCTGCTGTGTGACATAGAGTGTTGGACTGGATGGGCCTAATCCAACATGACTTCTCTTATGCCCTTAGAGCAAGATTCGCACTCCAGATCTTCAAGGTGGGCAGTCAAGTGTTCTAACTGCTTGACTATCACACCAATGGACGCTGCCACAGTCTCGAAACGGGGAAAGGATCCTTGACGCATCTTTGTGTTCTGTGACGTTCGTTTCCGCCATCTTGCCTCTCCTGCCCTTGACAGGGGAGGAGAGACATGCATAGTCCGAATAGTCTAGGTGATAAATTTACTTGCTGAGCCTCACACTCACCATCTGTGAACAGACGTCGCTGTTCTCAATCACGTCGGCGTTTCCTGTCACTTTTCCTATTTCCCTTTCGAGAGTCACCAACGACTCCTGGGCCTTGAGGGAGAAATTGGACAAAACGGTTAGAAAGCGAAGCTCCCGGAAGGCTGCTTGAGTGCTCGTCTGTTCCCCAAAGGACAAGTTATCATCTTAGGCTGCGTTCACACATACTAAATAATCCACGTTCAATGCACTTTCCAACTGGATTTTCCTGTGTGCAATCACAGCCTTAGGAAACTAAGGCTTCATCTAGATCGGGGGTCCCCAACCTTCTTGAGCTTCTGGGCACCGCTGAGAATTCTGGGACAATCTGGTGGGCCCAGCCACAAAATGGCTGCCGCAGGTGGGAGAGGAAGAAGAAGAAGAAGAAGGAGAAAGGAAGAGATTGGATTTATACCCCGCCCTTCACTCGGGAGTCTCAGAGCGGCTCACAAACTCCTTCCCCTCCCCACAACGGACACCCTGTGAGGTAGGTGGGGCCGAGAGAGCTCTTCCCAGAACTGCCCTTGAGAAAACAGCTCTGACAGAACTACGGCTTGCCCAGGGTCATCCAGCAGGTACAAGTGGAGGAGTGGGGAATCCGACACGGTTCTCCCAGATTAGAGTCCATGCACTTAACCACTACACCAAACTGGACCTCATTTTACCCAACAGGGATCTCTCCCCTCCCCAAACCTGCACTCTCCAGGCTCTGCCCCCTTAAATCTCCAAGAATTCCCTAACCTAGAGGTGGCAACTCTAGGCTGTGAAATGAAGAAGGAGAAGGAGGAGGAGGAGGAGGAGGAGAAGGAGAAGAAGAAGAAAGAGAAGGTGGAGGAGGAGAAGAAGAAGAGGAGGAGGAGGAGGAGAAGGAGGAGGAGG